GCTCACGCGTAACCTCGCTCGATTCTCTACAGAACCTGCACCCCTTGGGTCGACCTTCTAACGAAACACGTGTACATTACTGTTCATGCAAGAAAAACGACTCTAAGCGGTAGTTAGGCGGCGGCTACACAGGTACATGAAGAAGTGACCGAAACAGGGTAAGACAGAGACGTGCAAAAGGGCTGCCATATACTAGTGAAGGTGTGCGATTTCATTTACATAGAATAGCCGGACACAAGTGCTTCAAATATGCACATGCCGGTGTACACACGTGTACATGTGCTCTTAAACATCTTCATAAGCGCAGCCGGATACGTGCACATGCAGGCTTGCATTCATACAGACATACCTACATACATGCATGCACGCATACATATGAATGCCATGTATGCATGCATCGTGTACATGACATAAACAGGAACATATATATATATATATATGTACACATACATGTACACGTATATTTATATACTGCTTGTACACATGACTTTGTATGTTTGTGTGTGTACATCAACATGCACATGACATGTACCTCAATGTACATTAGTTTCAGATTTTGGGGCTTAGGCTGAAGGATTTAGGATCACGTGCGTTTTAAACTCTTTCTTTGCACCAACTAACCTTGGATTCCGGCATAGAGTTAACACCACTTGCTTCAATGATGATTCCAAAACTCACAACTCCTAATCTGTTGAACCCAAAGATCCGCATCACCACAAAAACTCTAAAGCCTTCTAAACCCATGAGCTGTGTAGAACCTCGAAGTGCTTCAAGATGCCCCAAAGCCTCTTCGAAACTGTGCCTCATACCTTCCGGAACTGATGTCCACTTCCACTTCAATCCATCCCCCCAAAACTCCGCACCCTACACATCCCGAAACCCTTGACGAAGAGCGACGCAGCCATGTTCTATCCGAGATGCCGCACGACCTCTGCTAAAATCAGATGCTCCTGGGCTGACTCCTTCCGAGTGCAGGAGGCCTCAATCGTGAGCTTTCTGAGGGTTTCTTTGGGCTTTAGGTTTGGGGTTTTAAGGTTTTGGAAAGTTTTGACAGGGTTTTTGGGAGTTTAGCTTCAGGAGTTTTAGAGGACTTCTGGTGTTTTGGATTTTTCAAGAGTTTCGCGGCTCTAGGGATAGGGTTTGCAGGGGTTCAAACCAGAAACCACTGTATCAAATGCTTGGCACCCACACAAGCACCAGATTCACAAGAATTCAAGTTTCCTGCACCATCAGAACCTCAGGAGTCCCTATCTTTCGGGGACAGGTTCAGGTTTGGGTTGTTTCGTGGGCGCCCTTTGAGTGGGTAAAGTGCAAGGCTTGCAAAAGCCACCCTGGGATTGAACCAGGGATCTTTTGAAGTTTGTCGGTTTGGAGCCTTTGCAGCATCTGGCTTGAATGCCAAAAGGTCGACTTTGCAGGCTTTTGGCCCTACGGCCGACTCTGCACCGTCTTTGTCTACGACTAGCACGTCGCCTTATCGTTGCTTCGTCGCCGCGCCGTCATTATTGACTGGGACGCAACCTTCATGGGTATTGGGCGGCAGCTACATTCCTGGCATGGGATCTTGGAGGCGAGACGCATGCAATGGAAGTTAAGAACCTTAGGGTACCCTACCCTTGCAAAGCTGGGCTTTCATGCAGCGCCTTGACAGTAAATCACAGCAAACCATACATAGTACATGTAAACGTTCGACGATGCAACAGAGTTTCCAGCTACGCCACTTGAGGGACGAAGCATCTTGGACAATAAATTCTGGAGATTCGGGTTGTGGGCATGCGTTCTGTTCTTGCAGACTTTACGGTGCGGTCTTGGAAACTGCCATGGCGCTGCACGTGAATGAAGCGCCTTCGCTATTGGGTCAGAGAAGGCCCCATCATCCCAAGTCATGCGCAATCAGCAACATTCACAAAGGATTTTAGCAGGATATCGTCCCAGGGATATCGTTCTATATAAAGGGATAATCACGTTCAACACTATCTGTAGTGAACCAGACACAAGAGCATTACAAGGTGCCAGAAAACAAAGCGAGATTCAGCCAAGAAGCCGCGACACGGCGTGGCCACGACAGACACTGAGCGAAAGACCTCCTGACGTCCTGGATGCGGAATACTGTGAGGTAGGAGCCAGGAAGGTCACGGTGTTGCATGAAGTAGGGTTGTAGTATTCTAGGATCCGTGCCTTAGTCTGAGCCTTGCCGGGCTACACCGTGTGACGCGCTTGCAATGTCTGCTCGCTCCTCTGCCGCTGGCACTGCTCAAGCTGTTACTGCTGCTCATGCTGCTGCTGCTGCTGCTGCTGCTTGATCGGCAGGATTGCAGCTGCAGTTCAACCTAAACCGACCCTCCAATGAGCCTCAAAAACCTGCAACCTCTAAAACATCCCGCCTAATTCCAAAAAACCAACATCCCAACAAAAAGAACCCGGAACCCCCAAACCCCTTCGATGGCCGAAACCTCCCGGCGAATGCTCCAAGTTTACTAAGGGCAAAGCATTTCGGGCTCGAGGGTTGAGTCAGTCTTCTTTTCGTGGCGCTGATGCTTGGCATTGCCTGGCACTGAAACTTCAACTTCTTCATATCGTGTGGACTTATGTAAAACCCTGAACCCTAAGCGAAGCCGAACTTTCCCAGAGCCACTCTCCGGGTCCGAACATGTGAATCCTCATCCCTGCGCCCGAAGGGTGGCACTCTAGACCTGAGGTCTTAGTCTTAGCAGGCTGCATAGAAGCTCAGGGGAGGGGAGGGGGGAACAGGGAACACAGGGTGAGAAGGGGTGGGGCGGGGGGTAAGCAATCAACAGAAACTCGAGGACGGGTCTGCCTAAACCCGGGCAAATCTCTCACTTCTGCAAAATTAGACTCAAAGGTAGATTTTTGAGTCCTTGCCACACACCGATGTGAGGTAGAGAAGGCGCCCAAGAAAAAGGAACCTGAGCGCGCGAAGACCACCCCAAAAAGGACCCTTAACCCTAATTACTCCCTATATCCTACACTCTGAGCTCCAAACCCGACATCGAAGAAGGGGCGAATCTCAGCTTAAAGCACTCGCAACTCCAAACGGAAGACAAAGCCTTCAGAGTTGTTCTAGAGTTTTGGTCGGGATCCTTGATCGACTCTGGAGCCTCTGCAAAAACGGTCTTCAACACTCGGTCTCCAACGGAAGGAACTAGATGAAGAGCTTCTTGATATCCATAAGTTTGCCGTCCAAGCACTGCTTGCCCCTTGCACACGGAACCCTGAAGCCCCGCAACAGTGCTAGGTCCAAATAACACCGCAACCTTCCAATGCCAACCCTCGAAACCAAGGAATCATGGAACATGGAAAATTCTGCACGACCCAAGCCCTAGTGCTGACCTTTACGCCGAACAGTTCCTACCTGACATTCCTGGAATCCTGATCTTTACCTTTCAACCCAAAACACCAATCTCGAAACCCGAGAAGACTCACCCTTAAATGCAAAAAGAATACCAGTCTTTAACCCAAACCACAACCAAAAATATTAATAATGGTCAGAATCACAATCCTAAAAGCAAAAGTCTTTGAACCCACCGAAACTCCTTCGGCTGTGAAGCTCCAAGGAAAGCGAGACTGTCTTAAAGGCGAACGTCTCCGACGCAGTCTCCATCGTTTCCTAGGCCTTCAAAGCCTAAAGGCCCTATAACGGCTGGTATAATCGCTACTATCCCATACTGGCTACCACCCGATAAGGGCCACTATAAGGGTTGCTGACACGGGCTTCACAAAACAAGTTTTCATTTTCTAGAGCGTAACAACGGCCCAACACACTGGCGCCAAGACAGTTCCAACAGATTAGAGTTCAGCGCGTTGTGTTACGGGCATATGGACATCAGAAATTACAGACTCCTGTTTGGCCGTATATCGTATTTTCTTGGACCCTTTTTAAGGGATGTCTGGGATGCCCGGAAGGCCCTGTTTGTGCTTCTCCCATGCAGTGCCGTCCCGATTCTTGTCCTGCGAGCCGACACCGCTGCAGCTTCAGGCGCTGTGGCTTAGAATGCTCAGTGTTTAGGAGTTTAGGGCCTTTTGGGGTGTAGCATTTAGGTATGTTTAGGTACTACGTGTAGCTGCTGATACCATGTCACCGCTCTTGGTGCAGCTGCTGCTCTCTCTATGTCCCTATTTATAGCTCCACAGCAATCGACAGGAGCAATTCCAATCATGGTTGTCCCTGGTCTCAGAGTCTGCACTGAATACTTTGCTGGCACTTACAGAACTGCTAGTACCATCGCCTTGGCGCAGTGATGACAATTGCAATCTGTCGATAGTATCCGGACCCCGCGCAGCTAAGCCGCAGGGGCTGTTTCACAAGGCCGCTTCTAGGGAACCAAAGAAGCACGTGGACATAGACTATTGAAGCCTGCCCAGTGTAACGGGATCTTAGCTTCTAAATTTATGCTTAGGTGCTGTTGGGGGGTCCCAAGCTTCTTCGTATGGGGTCTTTGTCAGGGTTCTTGCAGCTTCCTATATAGATCAGCCCCATCAAACCCCACCGTAAACGATCGGAGCTCTCGAAAGCTTGGGTTTACCAGCGCCTTGAGCTTGGGCGGTTCAGGTTTCAAGGGCCTGGTAGGTTCTGGGCAGAACGTCCTGAACTTGGAGCTCATGTCATAGGTGACGCCCAGCAGGTGCTGAGGCTTTCAAAGTCATCTGGGCTTCGTTGTTAGTTACAACCCCTGGATCCACTTTCGTCAAGGCTTCAGAAGTCCAAGAGAAATGACCAAGCCGTGCTTTCTGAAGAACAGTCTCGGCTGTCAAATCACGCAAGCACCTTTTTCAACCTTTACATGGGTTGTTGAGGCAGCCCCTTGTGGGAACTTCGCGAAGAAGATTGATTGTGAACTAAACGAAAGTCCCTGTGCTGTGGTCTCAGGCTCAGCTTTTGAGAAATCACAGTAGGCCGAAGGCAGAACGAGCCAATCGTTTCGAAGAATTCGAGCAAGGATTGACCTTCAGACTTTCAGCTGCGGCTCACATCGATGTGA